CCGCCGCCCCCCTCCCCCACCCCCTTCCCCCTCCCTTGTTGTTTATCCCCTTGTTTTCGTACCTGTATTTCTATCTATAACAAGCTTAAAGTCCTCAATAGGACCGTAAGCCTCTACTGTCTGCTTAAGAGACGTCTCGGTAGCAGTATAAGGAACATTTCTTATCATAAGACGACGGCTACTAGGGTCTGCCTCTATCATAGCATACAATGCATTCTCTACAGCTGCACAGACACCAGAAATAACATAATAGATACACACAATAAATAGCCTGGTGTATATACACCCCGCTAGTACAGCACCAGTGACCCCAGCATGCAACAACACCTCTCCTGCATTGACAGCAGCAGCAACGACCTCTGTTGTGGTGTACTCAATCACACAACATACATATATACATATATATACACTTATATTTATTTATTTATTTATTTATGTAGGGGAGATGCAGGAGTGTATACACGCCATTATACTGCATGCAACACGAATATACACCATCCATCTAAATACATCATTTCCTCTGCGCACGCATAAATATCTCCCTCTCTGTTTTTTTTTTGTATATGCAGATATATTCGTGTATACAAGCATGCACTCAGAAGTTCTGGTGTATACGCATGCATACATGCATATGTAACGCATGCAATCATGATGGATATTGTTTACTACAATTTAAACACTTTTCCCTCCACACTTAAGCACAAATAACAAGAGCTACAATAAAAGGGAGGAGGAGGGGCAGCAGCTGGCTGCTGCTGCTGCTGCTGCTCCCACCCCTGTGCACCCCTGCAGCAGCACAGCCTCAAGATATCTGTACTCTACATGCATACACCCCCGCCAAGGCCGATGCCCTACTGCATGCATGCATGCATGCAAGCATGCAAGGCACAGGGTGCATGCACCACGCGTAGGAGAAACGAATAGACAGCCCAGCCTCAGCAACACGACCTCAATCCTATTGCATATCAACAGTAGACGCGTGCATGCATGCTTAAGACCGTTCTCCTTAGCAGCAGCACAGCAGCAGCAACAACAGCAGCAACAGCAGATATTATCATTGCAGCTATTCTGTCTGTCCCTGTGGATGTATATGCGGGAGAATGCAAGGGATGAGTATATAATATATACGTATATGTATATAGGTACATAATTATATGTATATATGTGTACGTGCATGTATGTATATATGCATATGTATATATGTATGTGTATATATATGGATATGTATATATGTACATACGTATATGTATATGCAGTTATGTTTGTGTATACATGTAGATATGTATATATGCATAAATATATAGCTATATATATATGTATATGTATACGTATATATATGTATATATATGTATATATGCATATATATATGTACCAGGGTAATGGGAGCAAGCCCTAGCTAGGAGCATCTTTAGCTGCTCCTTAGTGAGGGAGTCGGTGGCCCTCTTTAGACGCTCAGCTGTGGCCTCGTCAATTTGTGGCAATTCCTCTGGAGCCTTCCTCTTACGACAAGGGAGTATACCGCTAGCTAGTCCCTCAGCTAAGCTACTCCCTGATTCCTCATCACCTGGATTCCCTACTACTGTATTATTGCTGCTGCTGTTACTGCTGCTGCTGCTGCTGCTGCTGTTGCTGTTCACAACTGTTGTTGTACCTGCAGATACTGTCTTATCATCACCACCACTTGATGAACCCTCTATACCCCAGTGCTGCTGCTGGTCATGCTGCTGGGCAGCAACCAATGCTTCCGCTGCAGCGGCACCCGCCGCTAGGCTCGCCTCTGCAGAAGACATGCTGGGGGGAGGATAATCCGCTGTGTCTATTTAATAGTTAAGTGTTAGCAGGTGAGTATAAAGAAAGGGGAGGAGGGTGGGAGAAAAAGACAAAATGCGACCTCCTTGAACAGCAGCAGGACAGCTGCAGGCTATAGGAAGCAGCAGCAGCGACACCTCCAGAAAAGGGGCCCAGCAGCAACAACAGCAGCTCCAGCAGCAAATCCAACAGCTGCAACAGCAAACGGTGATGACCGCGAGTTTCGTTCGAGCAGCAACAGACAGCCGCAACACCAGCAGCAGCAACAGCAGCAGCTGGAACACCCAAAGACCGTCGAGAACCGCTCTACTGATTCATCCCCAGGATGGGCAGCAGGCAGAGGTAAGGCGTCTTGAAGAAGAGGCAGCAGCAACAACAGCAGCAGCACCTAAAGCAACGCCTCTGCAGCTTCTCGCTCGCTGCGGTGTACGTACACCCCAAGAGCAGTTCACAGTTTTATCTGCAACAGCAGACTCCCGCAGAGGACTCTAAGAGCTGAGCAAGCCCCCAACAACAGCAAAAAAAGTAGCCGCAACACCAGCAGCAGCAGCAGCAGCAGCAGCTACCAGCAGCAAGCAGCACTCCGCGCTGCAACCGCGGTACGCAGCAGCAGAGTGGGGGTAAAGTATAAGAACTCGTATCGCTTGTTCCTCTTTACATATGTATGTTTGCCTTACAAGCGTCTTTAAATGCATTAAAAACTCGCCAGTAATGGCACAAACACAACAATATAAGATGCAGCCAACCGCCATGGTGGGGCTTCCCTGCCTCTTCTACCAGCCCCTAATAAGACGACCCCGCGGGTGTTGCATGCAAGGTGCAGCAGTGTTGCGGTCTTCGATCAAATTGTATAGATCGCACTCTTAACTATCTTTGAATATTTATATTTTTTGTCTTAATATATTAATAGTAACCTTATTATGTTGACGACATCAACAACTTACCCAATACAGAGGGAGCGCTACACGAGTAGCACCCTCGACTCTCGGTCCGAATCGTCTAGAGGTTAGGACAACACGTTGTGGCCGTGTAAACCCAGGTTCGATTCCTGGTTCGGACATGTTTATTATGTTACTAATAATACTAATTTCTATTCAACTTCCTTTCTTTTCAGCGTGCCTCTTAACTGTTTACAATTGCTTGCATCCACCAGTATGGCTCCCTCCACCTTGCCAATAGTACACAATATGTAGCGCTCCGAACAAGGTCTTCTTCGTCTAACAAAAATATTTTTTTCTAGGTTAATTGGGTTTAAATAAATGTCTCACAATTGTGTCTGCAGCTGAATAATTCAGACATGTTGATATTTTATGTCCAGTTTTTGCTCTATGTGTTGCTCTAAGTCAGTGCAAGTACCCCGTGTTTAATGCAATTATCCACAAGACTTACTGAGAATGTGTCTAATACTCCTCCACACAAGCCACCCTGGCCACAATACAATAGGGAATTAGTGCCAATGAGGACAGGATGCTACCGTTTTGCACTAGGCCTTGCTACAATGGTGCATCCAAGCTTGCACCGTAACCCTTGCTTCTGTTGACACAAAGACTTACTCAATAGTTACATATTTATTTGGTTATGAGCACCCGACCTACCCATAAAGAGGAGTGCAGGCACCAACACTAGACAAAGAACATAGCATTTCTTGTCTTCACACTGTGCGCCTTTCTACGGCTGAGGCAACATATGATGGGTGAATCGAAGAGGTGAGCTATGCATGCGTAAGCGGGAAGGCCTGGCACAACCCAACACATAAGAAAAGTAGTTGGGGTAGAAGGAAAAAGAAGAGGAGCAGCTGGTGATGATGCGCAGGTATTATGCTACCCCAGACTGCCGTTATGGCTTGAGTCATGTAACCTCACAGCAGCCTGCTGCATATTGTTTCCAACTCCCATCAATTGTCTCAACTTCCCTACAGAAGTGCCGAACTTAATACATTGCTGCCGCATTATATTTTACATTTTAGTGCAAAATCACTATCCCCTCTGAACTATTGCAATTCCATCATATACATTTCATCCCTTTAGTGTATTTATGCCCTGTTGCCCCAGAGAAAACATTGCACATTATATTAGATTAATGCCCCTAAATCGAGATTAATAGATTAATGCCCCTAAATTGAGCACGGCAAAAATGCCTAACAAGAAGAAATGTATAGATAAAAATTTCTAGGAGGAAATCTGTACGAAGAGAATCTGGGATGAATTTTCAGCTCGTTCCACTTTTCCTGTCTTAGAATGGAGTGGAGACGAATTCTTTGAATTCTACCATATTGGTCTTGGCCACCATTTCTGTCCTATTAGCCAAGACAGAGGAGGCACCCCTCAATAGAATATTCACGCCCTCCAAACCATTTCGGGCGAGATGGTATGCAAGCGCTGCCCTCGCTACCGTGCAGATGTTGGTCGCTTCCCTCCAAGGAGTCCACCAGGAGACAAGGACCCCACCCTCATTGTAATTCATTGTAATTTTTGCCAAGGATGTAATGGACGTCTGGGTAGACTTTTCTCCTTCCCTTTGGTAGAAGTGTCTTGTTAACTAGTCAGCCTTGTGCAAGAGACTCCATTGATGTGAGTATTCAATTCTCTCCTCACGCCAGCTACAGTCAAGCACTAGACGCTGCGAAGGGTAGCGATAGTGCTGACGTAATGAGAGGAGTTGCATGCAAGTCATAATACTGCAGATTAGAGTTCTTATAAGGGTAACAAAGGTCCCCCCTTATTACCTAGGAATAATGTGTACTGCGGTAGCAATGCCTATGCTCCAAAGGAAAGGAGGCAGACTGATTAGAGCTGTAGTATACACAACTGTTGATACAAGTTAGCCCCGCATGCAAGAGTGCTTAAAGCCCCATTTGAAGAAGCAGGGAGGAGCACTGTAAGTGTGTGCTAATGCCTTTCTTGACCCTTAATAGCCAGATTGCATGCACGGAGAAACGCATGCACGAACTCATGACAGACAATCGTACACCCTGTCTTTAACAAGAGGCAGTGCTGCTTCTGCTGTATAGGGTAGACATATGCCTATATTCATTTAGTAGGTAGTAGCATGAATCCCCGTGTCTGTGTTGTACACACAACAATAACAGCAACTGCAGCAGGAGCAGCAACAACTTCCACAACAGCAACAGCAGCAACAGCAGCAACAGCAGCAGCAGCTAGTATGGTAGCAGCAAGGACAGCAGGCACGGACAGGCGGCTGCGGCTAATGGTAGGCCGTTCCTTGGTTAATCGGTGTGTGCCTTCTTATGGATGGCTATAAGAGGAGGAGGAAATAAATAAAAAAATAAAAGAAGAAGTAAATAAAAATATAAATAGTAAATTATAACTAATTAATTTATTTATATTTATATACATATGTCTATAAGGAGGAGGCCGGCCTCTTCTCCCTCCCTCTCTCTCTCTCTCTCTGGTGTATATGCGGCGGCGGGTAGTGTGTATGCTCGAGTGTATAGGTAGCTTCTTTGCTTCCTTCTTTTATTAAACAAATTTAAATAAAAATATTCATTTTATTTCTTTTTTTCTTTTTTTTTCCCTCTTTCTTTTATCGTTTACAAGCAAGCAGCGCATACACTTGAGTCTACAGGGCAGCAACCAGCAGCTCAACAGCTGTCGCAGAAACATTGCTGCTGCTGCTGCTGCTGCTGCTGCTGTCTTCCTCTATTTGTCTTGCATGCAGCCTATTGCTGCTGTCACCACGAATTCTCCGCCTGTCTGGTGAGGGGGGTCAAGACAGACAGAGGCATTCCTTCTACTCGGCTGCAACGACAGCAGCAGCAGCAGCAGCAGCAGCCGCAGCAGCAGCAAGAAGAGCCACAGGAGCAGCAGCAACACTTTTCCCTATTCTTTGCTGCTGCTGCTCCCTCTTAGCAGCACAACTGCTGCTGCTGCTGCTGCTGCCTATAAGGAGGACAACCCCCAGCAGTTGTTTTTCTTTATACAGTCTCCCCCCATGGCTTCTTTACGTGCAGTTGGCGAGACTGCTGCTGCTCCTGCAGCAGCAGCAGCAGCTGCTGTTGCTGCACCACCACCAACAGCAGCAGGAGCAGCAGATATATCTCCTGCTGCAGTTGAACTCCTTAAGGAAGAAGGTAATCGTTTATATAAGGAAGGAGACATAGATGGGGCTTGTGCTGTATATACACGTATGATAGATGCATGCAAAGCAACAGGAGGAGGAGCAGCAGGAGCAGCAGCAGCAGCAGCAGCAGGAGGAGGAGGAGGAGGAGGAGAGAAAGGTATTGCATGCAGTAAGGAGTATAAGGATCTTCTTGCTGCAGCATATTGTAACAGAGCAATGTGTAGATTAAAGCAGCAGGATGCATGCGCAGCAGCAGCAGACAGCAGCGCAGCACTGCTGCTGCAGCCTACATACAGCAAGGCACTGTACAGACACTGCGTAGCTCTGCGTCAGTTAGGAGACACAGAGGGAGCAGCTGTCTCCTTGCGTCGTTTGCTGCAGCAGGATCCAAGGAATAAGGATGGTATATTATTGTTGCAGCAGCTACGAGAGCAGCAGCAACAGCAGCAGCAGCAGCAGCAGCAGCAATATATACCTATACACCTTATAGAGACAGCAACAAAAAAAAAGGAGACAATAAACAAAAGAATAAATGCATATAAACAATTAATAAGAATAATAAGGGATAAACAATCAATAAAGGAGACACTAATAAAAAAGGGACAACTGCAGCATATTATACATTTCCTTAAGCAGCAAAATGTACTTAAACCAGCACCAGCAGCAGCAGCAGCAGCAGCAGCAGCAGGAGACGATCCTGCAGCAGCAGCAGCAGCAGAAGAAGAAGAAGAATTTGCTGCTCCTGCTGCAGTAGAGGCAGCAGCATGGGAGTTAATGTCTTCCTTAGTACATTATAATCCTTTAGATGTCTCCTATGATGAATGTACTGTGCCCATCAGCAGCAGCAGCAGCAGCAGCAGCAGCAGCAGCAGGTACAGCAGCAGGAGCAGCAGCAGCAGCA